GAAACCTGGTGGCTGGTTCATTATTATTTACGGCTGGTATAGTAAAAGCAAATTTTTCACAATCCTGCTCTGCCAGAGGAATGGTAAAAAAGCAGTCCTTCAGATCAATTAGAATTAAAGGCCAGTCTTTTGGAATCATGGCTGGGGAGGGCAATCCGGGTTGAAGAGGCCCCATGGGTTGAATTACAGCATTTATGGCTCTTAAGTCGGTTAACATACGCCATCTGCCTGATTTTTTCTGAATTACAAATACAGGAGAATTCCAGGACGAAAATGATGGCTCAGTGTGTCCCTTTTCTGACTGTTCCTTTGCTAATAAATGTAAAGCCTCCAGTTTTTGTTTTGGTAGCAGCCACTGATTTACCCATACTTGTTTTTCTGTTTTCCAGGTTAATGGAATGGGTTTAGGAGGCTCTACAGTGGCTACCCCTAAAAAGGATACCCTATTCCTTTTCTTTCTTGATTTTCCTCAGTCCCAATTGGGACTTTAATGCCATTTTCATTTTTTCCCAATCCTTTTCCTGGTATATATCCCATCTTAGTCATGATTTTTTGACTTGTGGGGCTGTATAATGGAGCTGGCATAATGATTTCTGCACCTCATTGTTGTAATAAATCTCGACCCCATAGATTAACAGGAATAGAAGTAATCACTGGCTGAACAGTACTTTCTTGATTACCTGGCCCTAAACGATGTAAAATCATAGTACTTTGATACACTTCTGAAGCTGTGCCTACGCCAACAAGTCTTGTAACAGCCTTTTGTTTAGGCCAATTTTTTCGCCACTGATTTAAAGCAATGACAGAGATATCTGCTCCAGTGTCTACCAACCCTTCAAACTGTTTTCCTTGAGTAATGGCCTTACTCAAGGCCAAGACAGGTCTGCTCTCAGAGACTTGCCTTTCCTGCCGGATCAGTGCTTCCAAACCCTCCTGTTCTTTTTACTTCACTGTTTCCAACTCTAACATAAGGCAGGAGTAATAGTTGAGCAATCCTGTCTCCTGGACTGGCATTCCAAGGAATTGAGGAACTAATAACCAATTGAATTTCGCCTTTATAGTCTGAATCAGCCACACCAGTATGAATTTGAACTCCCTTTAGATTTAAACTTGATCTTCCTAAGATTAGTCCTACAGTCCCCTCAGGCAATGGGCCGTATACCCCTGTGGGGATTTTCTGTGGGGAAACAGAGAGACTGCTTATATGGTGCATAAATTTACTGCTGCACTGCCGCTTATGGGGGGGGATAATTGCTGTATTGTGATAACTGGCTTATTCCCTGAGGTACTGGTGACAGTAGGGGTTGTTGTTCCTGAAAACCCTGAGGAACAAAGGGCTGAATTGGGAATGCCCCAGTTTGTTGCAGGGCCTGAGGCTGGCCGCTCCTCTCGTTTCCGACAGTGGTTGCCCAATTTTCATCAAATTTAGAATGACATTGATGACCCCAATGTTTTCCCTTTTTACATCTTGGACATAGGCCAGGTGACTCTTTATCTGTTGTTGTAGTAGCTTGAGTAGTTACATTTTGTTTATCTGAGACTAGGCAATTCTTTTTTAAATGATCGATTTGACCACAGTTATAATATTTTCCCCCAAATGTTCTAACTTGTCCTCCTAAAGCAACTCCTGTGATTGCTTGAGCCATAAGCATAGCTTTATGCAAAGCTCCTGCAATTCCATCACAGGCTTTAAGGTACTCTGAGAGTACATCTGATCCTGCTGGACGCTTCCTTTTAATGGCTTAATGGCTGGTTGGCAATCAGGATTGGCGTTTTCATATGCCATTAACTCCACTATGACCTTACGGGCATTCTCATCAGTAATTGACTTTTGAGCAGCATCTTGAAGCCTTGCTACAAAATCAGGATAGGGCTCTTTAGAGCCTTGTCTTATTGTATTGAACAAGGGGCAGGCGGTTCTTGGGTCTTGGATTTTCTCCCAGGCCCTAAGGCAGATAGCCCTAATTTGCTCCATGGCCTCATTTTGCATTATTACTTGTTGACTAGCAGAGCTCCAATTTTGACCTGTTCCCAATAGTTGATCTACGTCTATGTTAATTGGAAGATTGGCAGTCCTATGTCTTCGGACCTGTTCTTGTGCCCCATCAGTCCACCAAGTCTTAAATTGTAAAAATTGAGAGGGTGAGAGTGATGATTTTGCCAGAATCTCCCAATCATAAGGAATGAGTCTGTGTCCATGAGCAATGGAATCTAATAATGTTCTCACGTAAGGAGAGTTGGGTCCATACTGTTTTACTCCCTCTTTCATTTCTTTTAGCATTTTTATAGAAAAGGACTCATATCTGGCTTCAGCTACGGGAGGCTCTCCCTCTTGGGCCCCTTCTCCAGGTGGTCTTGATTCTAATATTACTGGGAATTGCCACGCTTCAATATCTCCTTGTTTTCTTGCCTCATCAATAATTTTATGTAATGCACGACCCTGTCCACTAGGCGGTGCTGTAGGATTAAGTCTCATGGTGGGCAGCTGAGGCTATAGCACCCTGCCCTGTGGCGCTGGAAGCATTCCTGGCTGTTCGTACGGATTTTCTGGGGGCAGCCGATACTGAAGTTCGGCTGGCGGCCAGTATTGATAGGCTACTGGTGGCTGGGTCTTACTTTCTATCGGCTGATATTGTGGACACTGTATTTGGATTGGCATTGCCATGACAGAGACTCTATCTTTTTCTATTTGATCTTCTTTTGGAGTTTGTGCTTGTTTAACCTGCATTTGAGGTTGTAAAGTTACAGGCATCTAAGCTGCTGTAAGAGGAGTTGGCCATTGTGGTTTAGACTCTGATGGCTCTGTTAATTCTGGACCTTTTTCTTCTAATTTTAACGTTTCAGGATATATCACCTCCTATAATTGATTGTCGTCAACATTTTGCATTGACTGAGCCATTACTGGCTCTGCTACACATTTACAATGTGAACTTTCTGTTCCTTTCCGGGATTCTATCCCTGCCTCTTTGACAATCTACTGCACAGCTTTCAGGGACATAAGAAACTGAAACGCTATCTTCTTCTGTTTGAAACGGTTCTAAAGCTACTTTAATAATGACCCAGTCATTCCATACTGTAAGTGGGATGATTTTACCTTCCCTGCTTGCTTGCTTTAATTCTTTGCCAATTTTTTCCCAGTCTTTTAGATCTCAAGTTCCCTGTTCTGGAAACCATGGGCAAAACTGTTCTATTGTTTGGAATAGCGTAATTAGATTTTTGGTAGAGACTTTAACTCCCCCTCTTTTTAAGAGAATGTTAATAAAGCTGCAATAAGAGGTGTATTTACTTTTAGTTTGCCCCATTGTTACCCTAGGTTCTTCTGAGTGCACAAGCTTACCGCAAGGCTGACTGTAGACATACTCGGGAGTCTCTCGTCGACTTTTCCTCAATGACCACTCTTGAGCGTACCTTCACCCTAGAGAAAAGCACCCACGTTGGGCACCAGATGAAGGGGTGGCCCGCCCCTCCACACCTGTGGGCGTTTCTCATTAGGTGGAACAAGAGACTTGAGAAAAGAAATGAGGCACAGAGGCAAAGTATAGAGAAAGAAAAAGCGGGCCCAGGGGACCGTCGCTCAGCATACAGAGGACCTGCGCCGGCAACAGTCTCTGAGTTCCCTCAGTATTTATTGATCATTATCTTTAACATCTTAGAAAAGGGAAGTGGCGGCTGGGCGCAGTGACTCAAGCCTGTAATCCCAGCACTTTGGGAGGCCGAGACGGGTGGATCACGAGGTCAGGAGATCGAGACCATCCTGGCTAACACGGTGAAACCCCATCTCTACTAAAAAAAAATACAAAAAACTAGCCGGGCGAGGTGGCGGGCGCCTGTAGTCCCAGCTACTTGGGAGGCTGAGGCAGGAGAATGGCGTGAACCCAGGAGGCGGAGCTTGCAGTGAGCTGAGATCCGGCCACTGCACTCCAGCCTGGGCAACAGAGCGAGACTCCGTCTCAAAAAAAAAAAAAAAGGAAGTGGCAGGATAATAGGATCATAGTAGGGAGAAGGTCAGCAGAAAGACATATGAATGAAGATCTCTGTGACATGAGTAAGTTTAAGGAAAAGTGCTGTGCCTTGATGTGCTTATGCAGACATCTCCATAAACCTTTTTAGTGCATAAAGAGCAGCATTGCCACTAGCACGTCCCACCTTCAGCCCTAAGGTGGTTTTCTCCTTTCTCAGTAAATAGAACATACAATCGAGTTTTACACTGAGATGTTCCATTGCCCAGGGACGGGCAAGAGACAGATGCTTTTCTCTATCTCAACTGCCAAGAGGCCTTCTTTCCTCTTATACTAGTCCTCGGCACAGACCCTTCATGGATGTCAGGCTGGGGGACGATCAGGTCTTTCCCTTCCCACGAGGCCATATTTCAGACTATCACATGGGGAAAAACCTTGAACAATACCTAGCTTTCCTAGGCAGAGGTCCCTGGGAGCTTCCCCCGTGTATGTGTCCCTGGGTACTTGAGATTAAGAGAATGATGATGACTTTAACCAGCAAGCTGCCTTCAGGCACTTGTTTAACAAAGCACACCCTGCACAGCCCCAAATCCATTAAACCTTGAGTCACCGCAGCACATGTCTCTTGCAAGGTCAGGGTTGGGGGTAGGGTTACAGATTAACAGCATCTCAAATACAGAACAAAATGGAGTCTTTTGTGTCTTCTTCTTTCTATATAGACCCAGTAGCAGTCTGATCTCTCTTTCTTTTCCCCATATAGAATAGGAGTTATAATATTACCTTCGTAAGGTTATCGTCAGACTTCAATGGAATGACCTATGTAGAAAGTTTAGCAGTTTGTGGTACACGATAAGCACTAAGTGAATGATTGTTATTATCAATGGTAAAGTAGCTGCTATTTCTGAGCACCTATACTAGGCTAGACACTACAAATCAGTCATGTTATGGTGTCTGTGCCATACTAAAGCTGTTTGTTAGCACCAAACTAAAGCTGAAGCCTTGGTAAAGTATTTTGTTTCTGAAGACTGCCTCTGATTTCAGTTTAGGACCCGCTCTGGAACCTGAGGAAGTGGTAAACAGGCTGATGAATGGGATTCTGACTGAGCAGAAAATGATTTTTATTCCATCTTCTATAGCTTTTTTAACAATATTGGAAAGGTAAGTGACAGTTAAGTTTTTCAGCCTTAGAAATGAAAAAAGGTAAAATAAAAATTATCTATTACATTTTTTGCTGACATTTAAAATCAGGCAGTTGATAAAGTACAGTTAAATGGAATTGACTTAATAAAAATAACAGGCTGAATAAAGATGTCATCAGTTTTTTTAAACCACGTGTGTTAATCATTGAGGCAAGACTGATACAGCTCCTGGGTGAATGAACTGAGTAATTTCCACACATTTTTACTTTTTGTAAAGAAAGAAATTTGTATATTTCTGTAAGTCTTGTCTTATAAATGAATGACTCTGAAGAAGGATAGTTTTTCAGCATCTTTACATAATGGAATCATAGAACAATGATATTAAAGGAGACCAGATTTAGGTTTTATGTATTAATTTAAAGATACAACAGATAATCATTGAGCTTTTGTTTTGTGCAAAATCATACTGACGTATATGAATTGCTATTTTTTTTTTTTTTATAATATTAGAAATCCTTGAGCCTTGCTTCTTCCAATGTAGTTCTTGGACTAGCAGCATCAGTATTACCTGGAAATGTGTTAGAAATATAGACTCTCCTCATCTCTTGAATCAGAATTTGCATTTCAATAAGTTCTCCTAGATGATTTGTATGCATATTAAAATTTGAGCAGCACTTCTTTGGAGCAGTAACTCTCAACTCTGGTGCACACTGGAATTCACCTGGGAGGTTTAAGAAATGCCGGTGCCTGAGACCAACTCCCCCAAATTCTGATTGACTTGGTTTAGAGTGTGGCCTGGGCTTTGAGAGATAAAACAACTTTCTAGGTGATTCAGTTATTCAGCCAAGGTTGGAAACCACTGGTTTCACTGGTTTCATCATAACACACTGCTTCGTTCCTCATCTGGGAAAACTGTGTGGCAGTGAGGCTGGCCACATAAGGAGGGGAAAGGAGAGAGGTGCCTTAGGACAGCTGGGAGAAAAAGCCTCTTGCTGCCTGTCCTAGACTGGGCTTCTCCAAGTCAGTGGGATATCATAAGTACTTGGGAAGTGATCACTGAGTGCATACTTATGTAACGTGACAAGTATAGTGCCAGAAACATCATAGGTTTTAACGTGTTTACTCACCAAAGAGATCCTTGAGCTTTACTACCTAAACCTCCAAGGCATGTTCATCATAGTTTTTAGCAGAAGGGGCGAGAAAGCTTAACATATGTCACGCTTTTCATCTCTTGAGTTTTTTGCTCTTCGCATCAGTAATTCTCAAAATATAATCTCTGGACCACTGTCTGTGGCAGCTGTCTATTAAAATACAGATTTCTGGTCCAACTGAAACATCCATGTTAAAATCTTAACACAGCGCTTTAGAATATAACCCTGTGAAAGAAGGCATTTTGCCTATTTTTCATCACTGTATGCTCTGCATTTTGAAGAGTGCCTGACACCAAAATGTTTGTTGATTGAATAAATTAATTCTAGTTTCTAGACCTTTAAACATAAAGACTCAAAGTTTGTGCTCTGGAGTTGAATGAAGCTCTGGAGTTGAATGTGTTTGTGTGACTTGCTTGCAACATGAACATGGATGAGTTATTTTTAATTTATCTGAAGTTCAGTTTCTTTATCTGTAACATAGAGAAAACAATTGGACTGTATAGGGCTGAGATGAATAAATAAAATAATGCTCTTAAAGTACTCAGGGCTGGGTGCGGTGGCTCACGTCTATAATCCCAGCACTTTGAGAGGCTGAGGCAGGAGGAACGCTTGAGGTCAGGAGTTCAAGACAAGCCTGGGAAACATAATAAGACCTTGTCTCTACTAGAAATCAAAAACATTAGCCAGGCATGTTGGAACACACTTGTAGTACCAGCTACTTGGGAGGCTGAAGTGGGAGAATTGCCTGAGCCCAGGAAGTCGAGGCTGCAGTGAACCATGATCATGCCACTGCACTCCCTCTTGAGCAACAGAGCAAGCCAAGACCCTATCTCAAAAAAATAAAATAAAAAGTACTCAGAACACTGTAAGTACTCAATAAATGTTGTATGCCACTGTTATTATAACTACTATTATTATTATCATTGCCCTAATTCTTGTTACGAGGTCACATTGGTGTCATATTTCCAAACCCTTTTTTCATGCCATCTAGGCAGATTTCTGTATATTATTATGTTGATTTATATATTCTGTTTTATTTTCTCCCAGACCCACTGGAATGTGACAAGTCCCTAAATTTTCTAAGTGTAGTGTCTGGAGAAAAAAGATGAGACCTGCTAGTGTCTGTCACCGTTTAAGACATTTTATTTTTTTTGGAGGGGGTGGGGGATGGAGTCTCACTCTGTTGCCCAGGCTGTAGTGCAGTGGCTCGATCTCGGCTCACTGCAGCCTCTTCCTCTCAGGTTCAAGCAATTATCCTGCCTTAGTCTCCTGAGTAGCTGGGACTACAGGTACCTGCCACCATGCCTGGCTAATTCTTGTATTTTTAGTAGAGACGGGGTTTCACCATGTTAGCCAGGATGATCTTGATCTCCTGACCTGGTGATCCACCCGCCTCGGCCTCCCAAAGTGCTAGGATTACAGGCGTGACCCACCACACCCGGCCAAGACATTTTATTTAATATAGTAACACATTGATTCCACAAAAGAACACTGAGGGATAAGTGTTAATTTTTCCATTTACACATGAGGAATTTAAACTAAAAGGTTGAGTAATTGGTTCAGCATTATGCTCAAAACCAAATGCATTGTCTGCATTTTTATTTAGCAGTTCTACTTCCCCAGTCTCTTAGTGGAACATTTTAATAATATTCTGCATTATAAAGTATAAAATTAGTTCCTATTCTCATTTCCTTTTTAATGTTGGGTTTCTTTTTGTAAAGTCTTTAGTATCTCAACTATTCAGTTCGTATACCTCCTCTCTTAGATCTTTTGTTTCAAAAACTGACTACTTCAGGTTATTCTATTCTAAAGAAGGCTAAGCCTTCTTTTCCATTTGAAAACGAAATAGATTTAATGAGAAAGAATATATAGTAGTGACTCAGATTTAAGGTGCTTAATCTTATTTAAGATGAACACGATGATACGTGATAACTTTAAAGTATTTTTAAAGAGGGTATTCTACAAATGCACTTAATATTAATTTTCTAATTATTTTCATATATTTTTCTTTTAGGATCCTTCCGGAGCGCTTCCTGGCAGTTTTAAAAAGAAAAATCAATATTAAGTTTGATGCAGTTATTGGATATAAAATGAGAGCGCAATAAGTGCCTAGTTTTCTGAAAACTGATTTACCAAGTTTAGGTTGATTCATCTAATAGTGTCAGAATTTTAATGTTTGAACTTTTGTTTTTTCTAATTATCCCCATTTCTCCAATATCACCTTTGAGGCTTTGGCAGTCTTCATTTACTACCACTTGTTCTTCAGCTAAAAGCTGACTACATATGATATAAACCGAGAAATACCTTTAGAGGTGACTTTAAGGAAAATGAAGAAAAAGAACCAAAATGACTTTATTAAAATAATTTCTAAGACTATTTGTGGCTCACCTGAAGGCTTTGCAACATTTCTACCATAACTGTTTATTTAATATATATTTTTATTTTTGATTGCACTTAAATTTTGTGGGATTTGTGTTTCTTTTTCTGTTCTACATAAAATCAGAAACTTCAAGCTCTCTAAATATAATGAAGGACTATATCTAGTGGCATTTCACAATGAATATCATGAGCTCTCAATGAGTAAGTTTCATCCTACCCATTACCACTCTGTTTCCTGAGAGATACCTCACATTCCAATGCCAGACATTTCTGCACAGGGAAGCTAGAGGTGGATACACATATTGCAGGTATAAAAGCATCATTGGGATTTAAGGAGAATTGAGAGAATGTATCCACAAATGGCAGCAATAATAAATGGATCACACTTAAACTTTTTGTGTTTTCGTATTTTTGTTCCTAAACAGAACATAACCTTCAAATTAAAGGAAAACAAATTGTGTAATCTTTTTTTAAAAACTGGAAATTTCTTGGATGTGAGGCTCACTGAGATGGGACTATAAGATCAGATCTATAAATTTTAAAATTTAGTAGATTAGGTTTCTTCTACTAAAGAAAAATATTTTCAAGACTATATCAAACACGTCTGGGTACAGTGGCTCACGCCTGCGTCCCAACACTTTGAGAGGTCGAGGTGGGTGGATCATGAGGTCAGGAGTTTGAGACCAGCCTGGCCAACATGGTGAAACCCCATCTCTACTAAAAATACAAAAATTAGCTGGGTGTAGGCCAGGCGCGGTGGCTCACACCTATAGTCCCAGCACTTTGAGAGGCCGAGGTGGGCAGATCACGGGGTCAGGAAATTGAGACCATCCTGGCCAACATGGTGAAACCCCATTTCTACTGAAAATCCACAAACATTAGCTGGGTGTGGTGGTGGGCGCTTGTAGTCCCAGCTAATCAGGAGGCTGAGGCAGGAGAATCGCTTGAACCCAGGAGGTGGACGTTGCAGTGAGCCGAAATGGTGCCATTGCACTCCAGCCTGGAGACAGAGGGAGACTCAGTCTCAAAAAAATAAAAAATAATAAAAAATTAAATAAATAAATAATTAAATTAGCTGGGCGTGGTGGCAGGTGCTTGTAATCCCAGCTACTCAGGAGGTTGTGCCAGGAGAATCATTTGAATCCCGGAGGCGGAGGTTGCAGTGAGCCAAGATTGTGCCACTGCACTCCAGTCTGGGCAACAGAGCAAGACTCCATCTCAAAAAAAAAAAAAAAAAAAAAAAAAATGGCTATGTCAAACACATAACACATGAAGAACTTTAATCCTTTTATCAGAAAGTTCATATTTAGAAAAAACATAAGGCAGAATCCTTTAACATCCTGTTAAGTGTAGCAAATGAGCTACATTAGGTTCAGAAAATTTTTGGAGAGAGATTTTGATCCAAATTTTAAGCAGAAACTAGTATTTATTCAACATATGTCAGTTACTGTCCTAAACACTTAACTTACATCAATTAGCCCATTCAACAAGTTAAGTAATATCATCAGTGTCATCAGAAATTATAAGGGTCATATGGTAATATGTTTAAGGAAGCTTATGTTATGGATTCTGTAACAAAAAAGATAATTTCTCAGAAAGCATCATTTCTATGTAAATTTCTCCCTCTTTCCCATCAATTACCTTCTAACTCAGAGAATCAAAATACCATTGCTGTTGGACTACAGTTTGCATTTAGTTTGTGTAAATATATATGGGTCAAAAATTCTTGTTTCCCAAACATTATATTTGAATAATATAACTTAGATTCCTCTCCATACATCAGCTATACTCTACTAGCACTCTAGGGTTGAATATCCACAGAATTTCTAGATTAAAACACCTATCCTGGTAACAGAAATGACACTAGAAAGTGGAGAGCCTGTTACACTCAGCTTCTAACTCACTTTGAAATAGATTTAATTGTTTATTCTTCTGTTTAAATTATACTTGTTCCAGACTGCTAGCCACCCGCCAGTGAAGTAGACTAGGAAAAAGCCTTTAGCAAACTTTAGTAAGATAATCGAGGCCCAAATATACTGACAGCTTTTCCTGATAAACATTTTGGCTCCTAAAACACTTGTCATAAATAAACATTTGGATGTACTTTAGCATTAACCATTATGAGAAATAAGCATTACTTCTTTCAACGTTATGAGGGCAAATGGTAGCGTGCCCCATTTATTGAATGTTAACCATGGGTCAGGCACAGTTTGCCACTTAGTCCCTCAGCAGTCCTGTGCAGAAGGCATTGTTAGAAGGCACTGAACTAGCTATGAAGACAGCAGTAGTAGCAGAAATCCAGAAGAACCTTGGCGTCTATAGCCCTTACTCTAGAGGAAAGATGAATGACTATAGTATCATGGGGATTTTGAATTTTGTTCTCTACATTAAAAAAAAAAAAAGTAGAAGAAGCAGCTTGCTCTAACTCACCAACATTAGGCAATTAGCCCTGTGTCTCAAAGTGAAAACTTGTCAATGTTATTTGAATGAAGTTTATCCTAACTCTGATTTCACTTCTCAGCAGTTTGGTGGGAAAATTCATCTTGGTCATCAATCGAGCTAATTCTGAGAGACATACTAAAATCAAAGAGCTTTAGTTTGTCTTCAGGTAAATGGGGAATGATTTCTCATTGTCAGCAAGTATGATATTCCGTGGTCCTGAACCAGGGGATTCATTGATAGCTGGAACTACAGGTGCACAACACCATGCCTGGCTAATTTTTTGTTATTGAGGTGAGGTCTCACCATCTTGCCCAGACTAGTCTTTTATTTATTTATTTTTATTTTTATTTATTTATTTTTTGAGATGGAGTCTTACTCTGTCACCAGGCTGGAGTGCAGTGGTGCAATCTCAGCTCACTGCAACCTCCACCTCTCAGGCTGACGAGATTCTCCTGTCTCAGCCTCCTGAGTGGCAGGGACTACAGGTGTGCACCACCACGCCCGGCTAATTTTATATTTTTAGTAGAGACAGGGTTTCACCATGTTGGCCAGGATGGTCCCTATCCCTTGACCTCATGATCTGCCTGCTCCGCCTCCCAAAGTGCTGGGATTACAGGCGTGAGCCACCGCGCCCCGCCCAGGCGGGTCTTGAACTCATAGGTTCAGGTGATCCTCTTGCCTCATCCTCCCAAAGTGCTGAAATTACAGGTGTGAGCCACCATGCCTAGCCTAATCTTTTTCTTTATTTTTGTTGGACTAAGTAACCATCCCCAAGACACATAATCATCCAATTCTCAAAGGTCAAAATGAAAGAAAAGACTTTCAAGGCAGCTAGAGAGAAGGGGCAGGTCACCTACAAAGGGAATCTCATCAGGCTAACAGTGGACCTTTCAGCAGAAAACCTACAAGCCAGAAGATATTGGGGGCCTATATTCAGCACTCTTAAAGAAAAGAAATTCCAATGAATAATCTTATACCTAGCCAAACCAAGCTTCATAAGTGAAGGAGAATTAAGAACTTTTTCAGACAAGCAAATGCTAAGGGAATTTATTACCACCAGGCCTACCTTATAAGAGGTCCTGAAGAGAGTGCTAAATGTGGAAAAGATAGACCATTACCATCCACTACAAAATCACACTTAGGTACACAGACCATTGACACTACTAAGCAACTGCACAAGCAAGTCCACAAAATAACCAGTTAACAACAAAATGAGAGGATTAAATCCACACATATCAATATTAAACTTGAATGTAAATGGGCTAAATGCCCCAGTTAAAAGGCATGGAGTGGGAATTTGGATAAAGAAGCAAAACTCAATGACACAGTGTCTTCAAGAGACCTTTCCCACCTGCAATGACACCCATAGACTCAAAGGGATGGAGAAAAATCTACCAAGCAAATGGAAAACAAACAAACAAAAAAATCAGGGGTTGCTCTTCCAATTTCAGACAAAACACTTTAAACAAACGAAGACCAAAAAAGACAAAGAAGGGCATTACGTAATGGGAATAAGAAGACCTAACTATCCTAAATATGCTCTCAACACAGGAGCACATGCAGATTCAGTAAATGAGTTATTAGAGACCTATGAAGAGACTTAGATAACCACAAAATAATAGTGGGAGACATTAACACCCAACTGACAATATTAGACACATCATTAAGGCAGAAAACTAACAAAAGATTTTTCAGGACCTGAGCTCAACACTAACCATACGGGCCTAAGAGATACCTAGAGAACTCTCCACCCACGAACAACAGAATATACATTCTTCTCATTTGCCCATGGCACATACTCTAAAATCAGCCACATAATTGGACATAAAACAATCCTCAGCAAATTAAAAAAAAAAAAACCTGAAATCTTACGAAGCATATTCTTGAACCACAGCACAATTAGTATAGAAATCAATACTAAGAAATTTGTTCAAATCCATATCATTACATGAAAATTGAACAAACTGCTCCTGAATGACTTTTTGGTAAACAATCAAATTAAAGCAGAAACCAAGAAATACTTTGAAACTAATGAGAACAAAGATACAAAATACCAGAATCTCTGGGACACAGCTAAAGCAATGTTAAGAGGGAAGCTTATGGTGCAAAATGCCCAATCAAAAAGTTAGAAAGATCTCAAATTAACAACCGAACATCACATGTAAAGGAACTAGAGAAATGAGGGCAAACCAACCCCAAAGCTAGCAGAATGAAAGAACCAAATTCAGAGCTGAAATGAAGGAAATTGAGATGCAAAAAAACCATACAAAAGATCAGCGAATCCAAGAATTGGTTCTTTGAAAGAATAAATGAGAGAGATAGACCACATAGCCAGGCTAATGAAAAAAGAGAAGATCCAAATAAACACAATCAGCAATGACAAAGGGTAACCACTAACCCCACAGAAATACAAAAATCCCTCAGAGACTACTGTAAATACTCCTATGCACACAAGTTGGAAAACCTAGAAGAAATGGATAAATTCCTGAAGATACAACTTCCCAAGATTGAACCAGGAAGAAATTGAATCCCTGACCAGACCAATAAGGAGCTCCAAATTTTAATCAGTAATAAAAACCCAACAAGAAGAAAAAGCACAGGACCAGACAGAATAACAGCCAAATTCTGCCAGATGTATTAAGAGCTGGTACCATTCCTACTGAAACTATTCCAAAAAATTGAGGAGGAGGGACTCCCTCCTAACTCACTCAATGAGGCCAGCATCATCCTGATACCAAAACCTGGCAGAGACACCACAAAAATGAAAACTTCAGGCCAATATCCTTGATGAATATAGACGTAAAAATTCTCAACAAAATACCAGCAAAATGAACTCAGCAGCACATCAAAAACCTAATCCACCACAATCAAGTAGGCTTTATCCCTGGGATACAAGGTTGGTTCAACATACGCAAATCAATAAATATGATTCATCACGTAAACAGAACT